TTCTCCCAAGGCGAGGCCCAGCCATTGCACTCGGGCGGGTTGACCCTTGCGATTCCCCCAAACGTGGGGAACTCGGGAGTACAATTTCTGATAGTGGGGACTGCGTTCGCGCTCTCCCCGTACAATCAATCTAAAGAAAGGTGTGAAGAGAATCTGCTGGCACGCGATGTGTGAAGACCAGAAGTGGGATTAAATCGTTTTGTTAATTATCGGACAAGTAATATTCGATTTGGACCATACAGCTGTTTCTGATGCCTCTCTCTATTTAGAAAACGACCATATACATGTTATCGTTCGCTTTATGGCCCTTTTCAGGCGGTGAAACAACTCAAGAGAAAATTGATACAACGATGAAAAGGGGATCAACTCTGGGGTATTTTGCACCAAACTGGTGATTTGCATCCTGTTTCGGCCTAAGTTGTAGTTGCTCCTGCCCTCTTCTGTTTTCCAGCCAACGTACATTTGACCGCAGAACAGCCCTTCAGTTCCCGTGTAATAGTTACTGAAGGTATTTTGAGGAATTGTACAATAAATACAGGCTTACCATGCTGAGACTTCGTGAAGTCTTGAACTGTCGAGTCCAGTACGTGTCCTTACATGTCAAGTCACTGGTTGACCTCTTTGCCATGAGTCATCACGAAAGCTTTTCACTTGAGCCGTCTGCGCGTCTCCCCTTGTGTTATGTGATAATTTCCTTCTCCGCAGCCGCGGAAACAAAGGGCGCCACCGCTTGTTATGGCTATAGGCTCGGCTGGTATGTATGTACTGTACGTACCTTAGAGACTAGACTAGCCTTTTGTCAAGGCGTGTGTGTGATCGTGTGTGTGCGTCATGTGTCCAAGTATTACCACACGCGCCTTGACTAAAGGCTAACACTAGACAGGAGCGGTTGTTTTGTACTAGCGCTAGCAGACTAGACTGCTTTCAATTTCCTTTGCCGGAGTTGCATATACATGTATACGGTAAGGGTCTTTTGTTTTTTTACTCAGTGACAAAGGCTCCCAAATGCCTCTGCTAACTGTTGTTATCCTAACAGGTTGTAGAAATTGTTGAATGTTAATACTGTTTTCGTTGGGAACATTTGAACGTGAAGATATCGGACGAAGGTGGGGGCTGTGTCGCGCGTTTTTCTGGTGTCGGAAATAGACGTCGTGTCCTTTAAATGACTATCACCTGCCACGCTTACCCGCTCGACGGCGTATATTATGCCAGGTAGGGGCCTATGCCTTAGCCCAGGTGGACTCCCTGACCGTACTACGTTATGGAGGGAGTCCAGGATATAAATGGTGCAAATTGGTCAAAAATTTTGTACCTAAAATTTGCAACATTTCTACCTTTTCCAAGGAGCCAATTTCACGTTTGTAACTCCTATGCGTCCTTATCTTCACGTCTGGTGGGTAAGAAGAAATTCGACACATCACCACCAAAGACAAAAATGGGAAATTAAAGTTGGACGTAATGTTAATTCTTGCCATTGTTGTGGACTGTTTGCTGTGCCCTATGCACACTTTGGCCGTTGTGCCCTTCCAAGTGAGTTGTGACAAAATTGTTGAGAGGTGTTTTGTGAAGCCGAAGACAGGATGTTTTGTTCTTTTTTTTTAATGTGTTTTTCCAACTTATCAATATAAATTTTACGCTCGCGCCAAAAATTTAGGGTCGGTCACATAACTAGAAGCAAAACCAGTTTTTTTGGCCTCAAAAAGTGTATTTTAATCCAGCTGGCCAATCAGCTGTTTGGGAGAGAAGTTTGACTGACGTAAATGGACTTGTGTGGTGGACCTGATCGATTTCATTACATGTACTCAACCGGGCCACCAAATTTTCACGAGGGCCAGTGCAGTGCACTTCCCACTGGCCTTGCGGGCCACCAAGATATTGAAGTTAATTTCGGCCCCCGTGAAAGCAAAGTCAGCCTCCTCAAAAAATTGTTATTTAGGGGGTAGCAGTGAAAATATTTAGGTGTTCACTGAGAAAACACTTAGAATTGTTTAAACCAGTCTCATATGGTTTGTGTACAAGGTGTCAAGTGGTATCCACATGACTTTATTCCGGTCCTATATCAAAGGAGCAGTCAACAAGAATGACAAGTACTTGTAGGCCAAGGCCTACTAGCTGCAAGGGGTCCATATTGGGCTTCGTCACCGTCTGAGGCTTTGTCTCTAAAATCAACCCTGGGTAGGCCTGGCCCCGAATATACCCGCACGAGTGCAGCGGACGTCAAACCCCATAGTCTAGGGTAGGCCTCGCCCCAAAAGTAGGCATGGTACATAGGCGCAAGCCTATGCCTTTACTTTTTAATGAATTGAAATACTTGTAGGGTCTACTTACTATTTGGCTCTGTTGCATGTAGTTTGTATCAGTAATGTTCTGGTGGCACTGACTTGAGCTAACAACTTGAAATGAGGGCAAGCCCGAGTCAGAGATAAAACTGAACCTGAGGCTATTCAGTAGGCCTAAGTGTTGATTCCAAGGTTTCTAAGCCAAGACCTTCACAGAGCTAACAAAGCAAAACGTCATATTACAGCTACAATGTATTAAGCTGTCAACACGCTCAGTGCATTGAAAAATGGCAGATGAAATTATAAAAAGATGATATGATACAGTATTCTGGATGAACTTGAAGTCGAATTGTATTCATTAAAAAATGAATTTTCTTCACGTGAAAACAGTCTCTTGCTGCCGTGCCGTTGGCTGTTAAGCGTAATCACATCACCCCCTGAGCTTAATGGTACAGGCCAAATGATGCATGCCAGCTGGTTTTTAATTTAAGTTCCACAGAGAGGCTTGTTTTGTTTTCTTGTTAAAACAGATATCCATGCTGCCATTTTTGTTCAGCCAAACTCGAATGTTCGCCCATATTAAACAGTTTGATAAAATGTTTGTCATTTGAGAATGTGTTTTGGATATGTTGGCAGCATGTTAATGGCTTTTGGTCTGATGTTGTTGTTTTATGGCAAGATATCATTTGTTCTGCGCCATCGCTGTCCTTCAGGATAAGAATTCTGTATTGGACTATCATAGGTTTCAAGTGTCAAACACCAGTGAGCTTAAAAACAGTACCTGTCAATTTCAGGTGGTATTGAGAGAGAAAAGGGGTTAACTATCTGAGGGGAACAGGTTGAAAAGTAAGGTAAACTGGTAGGTGTTTGCAACACTTGAAATTTGTGATAATCCTATTTAGAGTTCTTTCTAGAATTGGTTCAACGATGTTATTTTTATTTCAACAGGTTGATTAATTATGGAAGGGTTTAAGCTGCCTGAGAGGGACACCAGACTGATCAAGCATGATAACACTGTATATAAGATCAAGCTGGTTTACGTCACCAGCAAGAGAGGAAGGTATTTGTAATGCACCTGCTCATGAGTCCCCATCCCTCCTACATCTCCCCACCCCATCCCCACTCCCACGTGGCATGTCTAAGAACTTGTGAATTGGTATTTTGAATTGGTTTTCCTCCCATATGTTGTGACCAACCGTAGATGATGTACTCCCTTTCCTCCCCACATCTTAACAGGAGCCTGGCTCCCACTCAAGTCGCTCTGGCATTTTTGCTTGGAATCTTCTAGAAATCTACCAAATATTGTCCCCATCAAGGAAACCACCAACACATTCTTGGAACTTTCAAGGGGTGCACGGATCACATAATGTAACAGTAGATCCCGCTCAGAACTAATTGCAGAAGCTCCCAAGAAACTCCCAATAAATTTTGAAGTAACTGGAAGGATTACTGTTGATGGATCTTTTGTGGACAGATGTGTTCTTCTGACCTCTGTCACCTTAACCTTTGGTGTGTTGTGTCAAAGCACAGGGTTTTAATCAGCATTCCACTTTTGTTCCTTTTTTTCTGTCTTTATCATTATTTTCAATCCCAACCCATTCATGTCACAGCTACGATGATGCATTAATTCAGAATGTTTCAATTTCTTCTCTGTTGATGTTTTGTTCAAGAAACTATTGCTCTTCCCATGCCAAGAAGCTCAAACTTGTTTGAGATACCCCGGCGTATGTGTTTACAGCACACGGGGGTTGGTTGTAACTAAAGAAATTTCAGTAACTCCATATCACAATTCTGAAGTCCATTTTGCGCTGAAATTTATTTACAGCCACGAACATATTCTACCTTGTGATGCAAAGTCCATGCAACATGAAATTGAGGTATGTTTGATGTTTTCTTATGTGTCACTGAAAAATGGTTTTATGAGAAGAAATTGTACCAATGGGTTAACCACTTGCTGTATAGTATCATGTTGAAAGTTAAAGTCTTACGAAGGAATTGAGGCTCACTGGCTTGAAATAGCACTGTCCAAAGTGGGAAATAAACTAAGCTGAAGGTAAAGCAAGAACTTGCTTTGCTTCTGCACCAAGTTTTATTTTATCTCTTTATTCTAACACAGGAAGCAATCAGTGTGGTCCTGTCTGGTAACCTGACCCCAGTGAAGACCGACCATTTCATAATCCATACAGGTAAAGTGGTGGTGACATTACAAAGTCTCATTGGGGACTTGTCTTGTCTCCTTCGTAATGTCCGTCGATATATTAATAATATCCGATATATCAATTTTGCTTTGATATCAATGTGAACGATATCACTTCAACATTGAAACTGATGTATCGAAAGTGTCGATATAATGACAAAAAATGAAGCTACAGTAGTTGTTATTAACAGTGTCTTGTCTTGAAATAAAAGTGTCCGTTTTTGTGACCAAGAATAGCAGTCAGCAAATTCACCTTTGATTTGTTGTTTTCCTCTTCCAAAAGCTTATAAAAAGTGGTAAAAAGTAAACAGCTATGTACATACATGACTAGTGCATGTAAAACTCGTGTGTGGTATAGCACACTGTACATTTAGCAGGGCACCTTTCGACACAAGGGAAAATGCATGCACAAATCAACTATAAAATACCCTTGTGTCTGGGTACCAAACTTCATTGGTTATTGGACATGCAGCGGAGTGGAGCTTTGACGGCAGGAAGCCATGAAGCTCGAAGATAAGACTGTTCTACATATGGCTGTGACTTCAACATTTAATAGTGAATCTTGCCTGGTATTTGTGTGTGTGTACTAGTGTGTGTGTACTTTTTTGCGTATATGACACCAGGCAAAATCCAAAGTTGTATGAATAATGCATCAGATTCCTGCACCCTTTCTGCATATCATGACACACAATAGTTTGGGTGATGTATATTCATGTCGTAGCAATTTCATCAATGGTGACTGGTTGAAGGAGGAACTTACTGTCCCGGGGGAAGCAATGAAGCCGGCCGCCTCTCAGATCGCAGGCTGGCCACTCAGATTGCAGACTGGCCGGAGTAAGCGTGCCTTCTCATATGAATATACTGTTCTGACTGCAGGTTGTTGGAATTGTCAGCTGCTCTTTTGTTTGGGGAAGATTAAAAAAGCCGGAGAATTCCAGCAGACTTATCACGTGCTGCATGGTCAGGACCAATTAGTAGGGGCCAAGCCTCTTAATCGCAAAAGGTGTTTGGCATTATGCATGCATTATGCAGTAGCATTGCTGTGTACAGATCTGGGATGAAGTCAACTAACATACTGATCTTCCTATCACAGAACTTGTTCCAACTGACGACTGTTGCAGTACAAATAAGTGTAATTTCCTCTGATTTTTCAGAAAGAAAGCCATGGAAAATGGCCTCCCTCCTTGTCTTCACAGAGAATAGCAGGTGGCTGCAGACCCATGCCTCAATGCTAACGTTGTTCGTCAAGGCACGGCAAGATGTGGAGGCACAACCGACACAGCGCCAGCCGAAGTCCCCACAAACAGAGTCCAAGAGACAGACGGAACAGGTAGTACTTGCTGGCTTATTGTCGAGTTTGTCTCTGACGTTCACTTGTCTGAAAGTAGCGTTCACGTCGTTCCTTTTTCATTTTCCAGGCTCGTAGGATGGGACGTCTCTCTTCCTCCGCTTTCACTGGTGGTACACATCGCCGAAAACACACCAGAACTTTTGAAGTGAAAGAGACGCGTTCGCCTTCCCCTCCTCAGCCAAAGAAAATGAAGCCCTCTGACACTCGGTAAGGCTGGTTCCGTCTCAGACTCCTACTACATTCAGAAAAGACTCCCCTGCTAGATATTTTATTGATGACTGTGGTGAAGTCAAATGCCGAGATACAAAGGCCATCCCACTCTGAAAACAAAGAAGGGTTTAAGTCTGAAGTTGAGCCCCAGCTGGAATATGGGCTTGATTTTGGAAACCAATTTTGTGTTATTTTTATAGACTTGGCATTAACTTAGTCACATTGCAACCAAGATGAAAATTGTAGCCCCGAGTTCATAGTCTGAAGTCCTGACTTGTAATCACTGATATAATTAGTTCTGGCCTTTGGTGGTCCACTGCAAAACACAATGCATGGTCCTAACTTCAACATATCTTTTGCTCACTCTGGCTTTAGTAGTCAAGACCAGTCTCTGGAGCAGCAAGATGTGCAGCACAGGGCTTACTTACTGCGGCGTAGAGACAGGGTGCCAGACACTAATGAGAGACAGCAACATACAATCAAAAATTACCATCTCAGATCGCAAGGTCAGTGAACAAACCTGGTTGAGTTTATTGAAAAGATACAGTCAAAGGTTGCAGTAGGTTGATAGATGTCTCCAACGCACATGGTTGGAGCTGTGTCACGATAACCATTCTAGATAAATGTCCAGTTATCCACGACAGGCCAGAATTGACCATTGACCACACTCAATACACCGGCCAACATGTATGGAAGCATACACGATAATTACCCATAATGCCAACACCTTTTGGCAGATTGAATTAAAGAGTCATAGGTGTCCTCATTAGGGATTTCTTTATGATATAAAAGTTTCAAAGAGATTGGTTGTTAGAATAGCTAAGATATTGGGATATCCCCCCCACCCCTGCAGTGGAAGGTCTGGAAAACCTGGACCTATAGGGGTAAGATATTTTGGTCAATGTATCCTGATATTTTGACATTTGTCAAACTTAGGTAATTTCAGTCTTATCTATATTGTGATTTTTATTTCTTTATAATCCCATGCTAGTAGATCTTGCCATTCATTTAGATTCAGAGATATTCTCAGAAAGATAGGGAAGGAAACAATGGTCGACAAAGTGAGGGGCATTTGTTAACATCATCCTGGTTTGGCATTGAATGAACAGGGATTGATAAACAGGAGCTTTTCTGTCAATGCCATCACGGTTTGGCTTTGTGGCTCACAGTTGTTTTAATGATGCATGCGTGAACCTTTAACCATGTTTTCAAGCAGCCCCTCAGGCATTGGAAAAAGCACCAGCGCAAGAATGCACACTTTCACCAGACAAGCCAGTTTATTACGTTAACTTGAATAAAACAGTTATGCATTTAGGCACAGTATCTGGGGCCTTGGACCAGCAGGGAAGTGAAGGATCTGAGTGTAGACCTAGAAGACAGAGAGGCAGTAGCAGAGGTAGTTTGGCTAGAGTTACCGGGCAGGCTAAGCAGGAACATGTCAGGGTAGGTGTGACTTACAAAGGATCCCTGCATCGTATTCATGTACGCATCTGAAGGATTTGATTTGTCAGGCTAGGACTTCTGTAATTACGTTTTGCTCTTCATTGGATGTGTTGGATTCTTCGAGTGCATTTCAGTAGATGCAGGTATCAACCAGAGATTAACTGATTACTTAGTTTAGATGACAAAATGCTTGTGTTGTATTTATGACCCAAAAAATGCAAGGCCCTGTAAACTTTCATTTCGTAGTGATATTTTTGTTACCTCTGGGTACTTGTGTGGTCAGTAGAGTTGTATTCAGGTTTTCACACTCAAGTCCAAGCCATCAGGTTTTGTTCCAGTTTTGGAGCAGTTGAAATTTTTTTCATAACTATTGGATTTCTAGGCTCATTAAAGCATCGCCAATTTTTAAAATCTTCATGCATGGCACTGTTTAACCCTCTTTCGTACATACATTTATTTAACCCAGGCACATCCTCTAGGTCCTGTTAATGTTTGCCTTAACCCTAGCAGTCCTCAATCCTTCACCTGTTGGAGGACTGAGGACTGTTTGCCTTAAGAGAGTTGCCTCAGTTACTACATGTACTTCAGAGCCAAGAGGCAAAACACTCCAGTATTAGCCAAGATCAACCTCTGACAAGCAAATGAATCATCTTTAAGAGACTATGGTTGAAGTCTTTGATGAAGACGTGTATTTCATCCGTGACATGCTCTGTGTGGATTGCTTAGACATGTCTGGCCCACCGGCAAGACATTTACACTCAAAGGGAAAAGATTCAGTGGCACACCATGTCAGCTCTGTGTCAAACCTTCTACCCTCTAAACGTTTCACGTTTTCTATATATATTGTAACTTGAATTTCATTCTGAAAGCAGTGTAATAATAGACTTGTTAATAATGCCTCATTCGTAGGACATATCCCATCCACATGAAGCAGAGCCAAGGGTTGGGGCCACGGCTAATGTTCCATCACGGCCTGCATACCCACAAGGTAACCTCACCAAACCAAGAGTTTAAAAGACATCCCTCTCTTATCACTGAAAAGTCCACTAATTTCTTCGGAACTGAAGAACTTGGCCCAGAGACAACAGGCTAAGTTGGCTAAAGAGCAGTTTGCACAAGTGAGGTCTCAGTGGATCGTTCCAGTGTTGTAATCAATTGCATTCACAGGTCCCTTTGCAAGTCCCCTCACAAGCCCAGTCTCAAGTCCCTTAACAACACCACTCATAAATAAGAGGGTGAACAGTGACAAGGGAATCCTTAAGTCACAGTTTATTTGAATGGCTGGTTGAACTCGTGACTGAATACCTTGTGATGGATATTCAGGGACTTTTGTTGGGCTCTGATAGCTCTCCTTTTGATAAAAGAAAGTTCCCTGACAGACAGCATGAGATATAGTTTTGGCAAACTGAAGAATCTTTGCTCTGTGAACTCTCCACTTTCCTGTAACTCCCTGGATTTAATCTAGCAACCATATCACAGGTTTACACTCTGTGTCTGTGCAAAATGTATTTCATTAATGTCCAAGTATCTCGACCAGCAGCACTGTTACTGTCTGATCCACGGTGCTGCAGTTGGGCCACTGCACGTAGTAGCATGTGCCATGTTCATTCCTTGTATATCAGGCAAACATGCTAGCAGAATGGCGCTTTTGTTTGAGCCATAGATGGAATACCATATTGGGGCTTTTGGATAAATTCTGTCAGCCGTGACCTGCAAAAACCTTTGAGAAGTTTGGACATTTTTGACAGATATTTGCTGACTACAGTTGGGCCAGCCCAAATGCGGCACTGAAGTTGGGACTGATGTTGTAGTTGAGGCATAACAGTATTAACAAATTGCAGGACTGTCAAAACGGGCCTATTTTAGGTGTGACAGGCACAGTACGAAGGACCTGTTTGCTTTGGCAAAAAAAGGCTAATTGGACTGGGTTGTGCCTTGGTAGAGACTAGATCGCAAGACCAACATTTTCAGAAATCGCAGGCCCAAATCTGGCTCCTGATGATCTTCTTCCACTGATTTGAGTAGTACACTCATTTATCTCATGAACAGGTGGTGCAGTGCAGCATGATACACATCATGTTCTGCAACCCGCACAACACGATGGAGCACAGTACCAGCTTGAGGAACAAAGAAGGCTCCAGAGATTGGTTGGTAACCAACAGACTCACCAAACTGAAGTGGCACAGTATCAGCTCCAATCCAGGGGACCTCTCCAACGGATGGTGAGGTACGTGCAATGCAGATATGTCATTCGTGAAATTGCTACAAATTACCACGTATGAGCTCCTCAACCACTTTTCATTGGTGGACAGGAAAACGTGATCACGCTATCTGAAAGCACAGGTGATGGATGAAAATGTCCTAAGCACCTTGACTCTTCTCCTGGTGATCTTTGAACATGTGTATCCCCCATTAATTTCGTACCCCCATGCAAGATCCAAGAAGTCTGTAGAGACTGTGTTGAACTTGCACTCGACTGCTGTGTATTATGTGTCTATCTAATATCTCTCTGTGGGTGGGTGAAATGTAGAAACATCACACAGAGACTGCTCAAATGGCTCCCTTGAGTCAGTATTTATGGCATTTGGCTGTGTATCAAAAGTAGGCCAGTTAGGTTTCAAAAGTCAAAATATTCAGCCCAGATAACACCATTGGTGAGGGGTGGGATGTATATTTGACTTTTTATGTTTCCTCCTAACGATATCCATTTTCATTCGGTAATGTTACAGATTTATTACAAAAATCTGAGGTGTTACATGCACAATGAATCATTGAAAGTACAAAAAGGAGGCATCGGGGGCTCAGTTTTCGTTTTATTAATTTTTGCACACAAAACAGCATGTGCTGCATTTTTTTCTTGGTTGGGTTAGGTAACCTGACACAGGACTATCGTCTGTTGAGCTCATTGAAATTCCGTATACGTGTACATGCAGAACACTTCAGCACAGTCTGGCAGTAGACCTGGTGTGTGCATCCAAGCAGAAATATTGCATTTAGCTTCCCCCGAAGTGTCATGAATGTGGCATACCCATGGATATCACTTTAATCATCTGGGATTTAATATTTGTTGGAGGGAGAGGAAGGAACCTTAGTTTTTTTATTGCGACCAGATGAGGAAGGATTTTTTGTTATTCTGTTAATTGCCGCATTAGATGTTACAAGGAGTTAAAGATCTATCACATTGCTCTGAGGTAAAATGGTTATGTAGTAGGAGTTGGTCATTGTTACCCACATAATGACTAACGTGGCAGCTTCTCCACATTTATTTTAAAAAATCGTCAGTTTGGGACTTCAGGTCCACTGCGAGAATACTCAAAGTAAAAAAAAGCGTCCATGAGGGCGGCAAACTAATCTGGCGATTTGATGATGTCATAAAACGGCTCTTGTTCTCCCGGAGGGTCTTGACCTTGTGGCCGTAATAGGGGTTTCATAGCACAAAAACAGAAGAAAAACGGGTAATGCAGGTTAGATGTCATTCTCAGCGAATGACCACGACCATCTGCCTGAAATTCATCTGGAGTCTTCTAGACGTTATCCTGGTTCAATTGGGACGATTCGACTTGATCACACGATCCAGTGTTCATCAACATTGTTGATGGAAAAGCGATTCCAAGTCACTATCACTGTCCGACCTCTTGTAATTCACAGTTACGTGCGCAAGCACAGCGCTGACGCACACGGGTGCGTTCGCCCCAAAATAACAAAATAGCTGTATAAATGCAGAGCTGTAGTGTGATGCATCAAAACAGGCTTCTGTTGGCTGCTACTGACGACTTTTGTTTTCAGTTTACTTGATATAAAGGAGGACTTCAATTCATGCTTTTGACGTCAGTAGCAATCTTTATTTAGTTTTTACCTACTAGATTGTTTTAAATATAATTAACTTTTATCAAATTGACATTGCGAATTACCAGTGTAATGGACCTTTAGCTACTATAACCTTAGGCTTATGCATAAAGGCATCAGTTGCCTTTATGCAGTAATTCTGTTTTTCCTATTTTTTTTCCGTAGTGCTGTGCTTACACCAGTCAAGAATCTCTTTTCATGAAGTGCTGAACCAACAGTGAAGATCTGCACTACCCAACTGTCTAACTTGTTTAATGGATTAATTTGTACAAATGTAGCTTACGGTTTTTACTTGATAGTTACTGTTTCTGTCTTTGCCAGTTGTTTTTTTTTATGCAGTAACGTAATTTGTTTTATGCCAGTAGATTTACTGAGAGATACAGCAGGGTTACATTCGTTTAATGTTGTCCAAGTTACAGAACCACAGAAAAAGGAAAACGTTTTTTTTTTCTTGAGAAAAAATATTTTGAAACAGCCTGTTTTGGGCTTTTTACTGAATATACAAAACAAATACCCATCCCGGAGGTTAATTTAGATGAAACTGACCAACATTATATGTAAACTGAAGGTGTACCTCTTACTTACAAAAGCAAAGAGCCTGGTTCCGAGTATCATTGTTTCTATTGGTCATTTTCTTTAATATTGCAATTGTGCTGTGTATTTTATTGACCACTCTACTTCAAAGACATGGGACTACATTACCACGAGCATGAGTGGTATGGTACCATGAACACCTTCATACCACTTATAAAGTGGTCACGAGTGTCGCCAGGTACAGTGTATATATTTGGGGGGGCCTGGGGAACCACTTTCCTTGGGGAGAAAAATTTCCATAGGGCAAAAGCGCACCTTAGCTAAGAGCGGATAAACAGTTACCAGAGGTAGGGGGACAGTTTGAGGTTCTTATATAAATAAGTGATTTTCATCCATGATTTTCATCATGGTTTGTTTTTTTTGGGGGGGTCTGTTTTTTCTTTGCCCTTGTTTAGTTTTCAATTCCCCCGGCGCCCCCCCCTTGCAACACCCATGAAGATGATGGGATTCCTGTTACTTTGACCTTGTCTTTTATTTGAGACAATTCATTGCTTTAATCAAACAGAAAAAAACGATCCACATGCTTAGCATTTTTATTTCATTGATATTGGCACATTGTTATAAAACAGCCTGCAGTAACTGTGCGACTATACCTCAGAAGCATTCTCCGACACTTATCAAAATAAAGCCCCCCCCCCAAAAAAATTTGCCACGTCATTTCAACTAAACAGGATAAATACGAGAAATAATACAAAGTGAATTTATACTTTCTGGTTCCAAATAACAACTGATTTATATACATGCAACTTTTTCATTAAATAAGAAAACCGGCTAATCAATTCGAAAATCAAAATTCTGAAAACTTTGATCTGAGGCATTTTGTTTCAAAGTCCTAATACAAGAAATGATTGATTAGAAAACTGTACTTCTGGAAAGCTCTTAAATGGACAAGTTCCCACTGTACAAATAAATTAGAGAAGTACAAAATACCATTCTTTCTACATGAATGTACTTGTTCGTTGTACAAATAACTGGCACGTGTTCGAAACATTACGCAGTGTACATTGTTAAATACAGGAGCATGTCTAGTACATGTATGACTTTTTATGTAAAATGTAAACTAAATGTGCAAAAGAGGCAACTTAAATGTTTGCCAGGTTTATTGCCAAGTTTTGCTAAACCAGATTTTAATACACGTGTTCTTTCCATATACATGAAGTAAACAAATTGTAACACTTCAAAAAACTAAGACAGAAATTCTCACAAGACTATGAGTTAACACTGTCAACAATTAAGGTTAACAGGAAATCTGAATAGTCTTGTGAAGTGGTTGCTAGACCCAAATTGCCACCCACCCACCCCTTCACCCACTTGCTTCACTGTTTCCGCAACAAAACAAATGTGACATGGTTCATTGACTAGCCTGGTCAAAGCCATTTCCAAACTTCAATGAAAACATCCATTTAATGGTTTCTATTGAACCATGAAATGACTCCAACCCCCCAAAACACTTCTAAATCCTGCATTCTTTATGTCTCAACTGACAATCACTTCCTACGGATGCCCAGTGATTCTGCATTTTAGACGTCAGATTTTCATGACTCCCAAGACCTGTACCATATTTCTAAGAAATTCCAAGCAACATGCACGTGTATAGAACAGTTTGCACTCTGCAGGCACATGCGCGAGGTGGCGTAACACACACAGCTGTAATTTTCCTACAAAGATGGCTGTCTACGAGATGGGTCAATAGGATCGTTCAAAAACATTGAATTTGATGTAAAGCACACAAGTTGTAATAAGTTGTAATTCTGGTGGGTCTGACCCTTCTCAATCCTCCAAAATTCTGCGGGTGGTTTTGGAGGATTCAAGATGAATGATGATTTGAACATTGGCGGATTGAGGATGTATGCAGTTTTTGAAGTTGAGTAATTGGAGGATTTTGGAGATTGAGGATGTGTCCTAATAAAAAGGCCCTAGTGGGTTAGGGTTAAAGGCGGGGCTGATGCCAACTAAAATTGAAAATATATCTGATCTGCTGCCGTAATGTTAAATCTGCTACCTTCATGGAAAAACTTGTGGTGGAACAGTTTGAAACTTGGTGGGAAGGACGCACAAGTACATACACGTAAAATATTGGATGACGTTAGGAAATTGATCTGCAGAGAGGAACTTTTTCAAGAGGGTCCGGCCCACCTCCCATCCTGCTTACCCCGAAACACAGAGTGGCTACTCCTTGAAAGCAGACCCTCTCGTCCTATGTACAGGTTTTTGAATAGTTAAACCAGCCTCTTTTTCCTATCCTACTGTACCTTACTGTGCAAAAGGGTCCCATGGGTCAGACAGCTCATACTTTAAATTTGTGCCTGAGCAAATGTTCACATTTTGCATATACACAAACACTGTACATGAACAAGCAAGCTGCATACGTGTACGTTAGCGGGTCCCATGGGGCCAAAAGGGGGCTATGGAACTCCCCGGGTAAAAATTAACCCCAGAGTACAATGCAATTTTAGTCTCTTGAAAGTTTGGTTCTTATGCTAGGACCACCCTTGGCGGCCCCCATAACTTGATAAGGTCCTTGTCCTCCTAAACTCATCTAAGCAATGTCTAAGCAACTTGAGGTATAACGTAGCACCAACTAACCACAGTGACGTGATACTTCAACCCAGAATTCTTTTCCAAAATTTGTACAGTTTTTCCTCTCAGCACCACTTACATAACTTGGATACAATTCTTTACAAAAAACCTTCCTCCAAAATACTCGTACTCCTTTAAATGTCTCCCTCGTCACGTCCGGATTTTTCTCAACTCTAACCAGCCCTGAGCCTTCTAAATCCACCGGGGAGATTCTGGGAATTTTAGAGGACTCAGAACAAGGACTGTCCAACCATAACTCGACATAGGAATTGATGCCGCTTCAGAAAAAGGTGAGCAGAAAGACTGTGCCACTGGCATCATACATGACAGTGGATTTTGAAAGATTCAGGAAAATTTGCAGATAAACTAGGACCTTCAATTTCAACCTCTCCAGTCCACATATAAACATACACTTTTGATGTAGAAAAACAATTACATGAATCAACCCTAACAGTCCTAGTCTTTCAACAGGTGAAGGATTGAGGACTGTGACGGTTGATAGACCCAACAATCCTCTATCTTAGACACAGAGTGCTAACTCCGCTAAGAAAGGACAAAAAAGAAAAGATATCCATGGCTGCTTAAACAACGTAAAAAATACTACTTTCTCTTTAGATGTTGATGAGTTCCTTGCTATTAAACCTGTTCATTCATCAGTGCCCAGTCAACTCAGCCTGTAGAAGCCATCACTTCAAGATCCCTAACTAGGAATTGCTGGAGACGAAAAAAAAAAAAACCAAAACATTGCACTGTACTGAATCTTGGCAAATCAGGTGTGCATGGGTACATCCAGTCCGTACTGATTGCTGTGCGTTTCACTGGTCCGGCAGGCGCACAGCCTCAAGACCAAGCAGACTGGCCCCAGGGCCATGCCGGCCGTCAAGGGGTCATTCTTGGTGCAGGCGATGAGAAGGCAGAAGACCTGCAGGTAGGGGACCAGAAGAATCCCCATCCAGAGCCAGAAGGGCAGGGACACCAGTCGGTTGGTGATTGTCTGCCTCCAGGTGATGCCACCAGGATTGTTCTTCAGGGAGCTAGCATAGGACTGGACGTGCTCCAGGGCTAGGCCGTTGTAAGTCTCACTGATTTCAAACATGTAGTACAGTATCAGGGCACTGAGTAACAGGAAGACGACCACCATGAGCCAGCCCATGCGCTGACGGAAATTCATCTCGCCGAGGGGATTTGGTGATTCCAGTTGTATGAAAAACACCAGTGCTGTAGCAAGGGGGAAAAAATCACTTTATTTCTGCAAGAGTGCAAACACAGCAAATTACCCTAAATACAAAAGGGAATAGCCAGATTATCACTTCATACACCATGTTCAAATTAGTTGTTCAAGATCACTGTTCAAGTTGTCTTACACATAATGTACACAGAGCTTGATCATGGAGGAATAAGTAACACATCCTCGGTGTTTGATCGAGGGTTTGATCACATGATCGCTCTTTTCTAATTCAGCAGTACAGGCTGTAAAGTAGTGTTTTGACAAGTCAAAGAATGAGGAAGTTAAATCGGACAGGAATAAGGATCACTGAAAACTAAGTAACAGCACGGGGGCTTGGACAACTGGACCGTTTGTCAACTCGATGTGGAACAACTCGACCGATGGGACAACTTGACCGTCTTTGCCTCAAATGGACAGACAACTTGACTGTTGAGGCAAATTGTCAATAGAGACTTGTTATGAGTGTGCTTCACAGTCACATTGCTCACACCTTTTCCCCAGAATGAAAACAAAGAAACAACTGGGGGAGAGATTTAAAATGTGAAAAAAAAATTTAAGATGCCCTTATATCCTGGACGTTAGTCATAACGTAATGAAGATGTCGTCCAACTTGGGCTACTGTGCACCCCGCACAGCACCTGTTTGGTCAGCCGACATGCTGTCCACCACAGCGTCATTGGGTCCCTAATGCCCATGTACGCCATATCTGGTGAGTCAAGTTGCAACGTAACAAGACACATGCAAATTTACCCAAACACATAACCTGCCATGCCTGCACTCTGTGTTAAATGCCCCACACCCTGTCAAGTACACATCTTGAATGGTTAAGTTGTCTTAAGGCCAATTGAAATTAATTCCTTGTTTATAATCACTCAAACTTATATTTTTGGGCCGGGAGGACCTTCAATATTTCAAGTTAGTATTTTCCAGACTTTTCAGATAGTCTAAAAAAATACCTTTCTTGTAGTTGTACAGTATTTTAATGCTTGAGTGTTCCATCTACATGTATAGTCATAATCAGATCAGTCGGTTATCGTTGAGGGCAAGACTAGAGAATTTTAAAAAAACCCACATTTTTGGAGTGCAGACACATCTGCAAGGTTGAAAAGGGCTGGAAATTTGTTAAAAAGATGGAAATATCAAATATCAAAAAAAGTCAGGGCGGCTGGGAAAATCTAGTCGGGCTGTGATGATAAACAAGGAAATGATTTTAATTGGCGTAACAGAGACTTGGTAAACACATGGAGGGCTACCTCCATGGTAAACAGTTGAGTTGTCCCACCGCTTGAGTTACCTCAATGGTAGTGTTGTTCCGAGTTGAGTTGGCAAACGGTTGTTACACTGAGTCAAGTTGAAGTTGTCCGACATCCGGCTGTCACAATATAATCAACAAATAAGCCTTATCGCTAATCAATACTGCGAGTGCAAGAGTAATTTTGCAAAATAGTATAAAGGCATCATGGGAAGGAAAAAGGGGCAAACAGTGCCTCTTTTCCCTTTTCACAATGCCTTTCTACAGCTGTGCAAATCAGCCATGCAGTACATTATCAGATTACAGCATTTCTAGCTCCATGATTATCTGAACACGATAAACAACAGACAAGTACAGTGGTATTAAACTTACCTTTTTCCAAATAACGATTAAAAGCCCGATACAGAAAATAAGTAATTACCTTTTGGTTCGGTCACATGAGTGTCACGCTCACATGAAACTGATTAATTTGACGCTTGTGCCGGGCCCGCAAGTGGAGAGAGGTCATCAGGTTCCACGCTGGATGCATTAACCGTACGTGCCGTAACGGCAATCACACGTACACATGTTAATTTGTGCAGTGCTGTTCGCGTAGAAATACATGCACAATGTACTGTACATGTACATGTACCTGGGCAGAAGCGGTATACCAGCCGCGCCAGCCATCGACTGATCGCTGTTTCTTTATTTCGCAGGGGACCAGCCAGTTGGAGTTCATCGTCCCGCTGGGAACTTTCACTTGCTATTCAAGAGAGGGCGCTACAAATACTCCGGCCAGTTACAAGCGCTTTACAGTGTAAGAAACTGTTGAAGAAATCAAACGGGGGAAATTCCGACAAAATTCTCAAGATATTTCAGAAGAGCTCGAGAAAAAAATGGGTCAATAAAGGTTGAAGCATTGTCATGATCAACGCCACAAAATAAGAATACATTTTGTGATCATTGTTTATAGCTTTCTCCGTGTTTTGAGGGTACGGTTTGTGGAAAATTGGAAAAGCGCCGGGAATCAATAATTTAAACTGAACTTGACCAGACAGCATAATGTTCCAAGCTTTTTTACCGCTATAGAAAACTTGAAAATATTCTCAAATGTCAAGATTATTTCGCTGTGTGAATGTCACATTAGCGAGACCGCTAAAATCACCAAGTCTATGTGCGTCTAAATCTGAACAGCGTAACACCATTAATTTTGTCAATGTCCACAGGAATGCATGGTGAACTGAAAAGACTGTAACAGCCGTCAGTAAGACCCCCCCCCCTATAATTTGGTGGTACGGACGGAAATGGTAAGAATTTGAAAAGTTTAAATTTTAAAAAGTACTGGGACTAGTTGCCCATCATACACTGGATCAACAGTTTTATCCCCCCCCCCAAAAAAAACCTGCCCTAATGCACATGTAGTTCAAAGGAGGGCGCACTGTAGGTTTCGCTTTTTGTCAACTTTGTACGTTGGTCATGTTGTTGTGATAGGTAGCTAGGCGCAAGCACTATCTAGCTAGCATGCAGGGCATAGCAACAGACAACAAGATGGCGGAGACAGCGACGATGGTGCGGTCGGAAGCGATGGAGCCGGCTTGTTTGAGATGGTCTAGTCAGCAAGTCGCAGACTGGATGGCAGATCTTGGTTATCCTCAATATAGGGTTCGTTTTATTTTCGATTTTACAAGATATTCCCGATGATAAATCAACGAGGCTTAGGCCTACATGCATATGTTCTCGCGGTAACTCTCGCGGTAACTCTCGCGGTTTCAGAAATTTGGAATTTTGCTTTGCCAATGTCAGTGAGATCCCAATCGGCAATATTCGCCCATGCAATCAATAAAATTATGGCCTGAGGATAGGTTTTATTGAAACAGAGTGAACAATTCTGCATGTTTCTGTAGGGTTGATAATTTTTAAGAAAGAGGCCGGTGTAATTTTGCCGAAATTTGTAAATTTTTTGGCACAATTGCAGAATACCCCGCCACTCCCCTTGCCCACCTCGTAGCTGCGGATACGCTTCCATCCACAAGGCCCATGGCCCACTTCGTATCCCCGTATCTGCGTAGCCGCTTCCTGGGACCCACATTGGACTTGGGAAAATTCTTCCGCCTTCCCCATTCACTTTGCGTTGCAGTGCTTCGTTCTCAAGAATGACTGCATTGTTGTACACAACGCATACCTTGACACAGTAAGGATAACCTGAAGTCGAACAACCTCCAGTTGACTGGATTTTTAGGGGGTGTTTTCGCGTGGCAGGGTATTCTGCAATTACTCCAATTATCCTTCACCTGTGTCTGTCATTTGGCTTCCCTATCGTCTATCTCTTTAACAGTTAGACCTAGGCCCCAATATCTAACACCACCCTGCTCTTGGATATCCGTTGCTGGGTTCCCATAATTACGTCAATTCCGAAATGGCCAAAAGGTGCCTAAAGGCACATTTTTAACCACGAAACTGCCCATTTTTTTTAAAATCAAAATAAGGGCGCTGCGCTGATAAATTTTTGCAAGCGTAAAATGCGCCCCCAATCTTCATTACAGTAGACTTGTATCTATCGTACTTTTACCCTCCAGAGCAATTAATAGTGAATAATTTAGCTACATTGGCATTAATGTCTCAGTTTTTTTGCTCTTCTTACACAACTTGAAGATTTTTTTCAGTGGATGTTTAGAATTTTTAACATTAATTTTTGAATTAAATAGTTCAGGTCCAATGATATGGTTATAACTCTCGGGGGGTAGAACTCACAAAGCAGACACATTCAACAATTGTTTCAGACAATGATAAAATAATGAGTACTCCAAGAAAATGAAATTTGCGATACCTACAAGTAATTATTTATTATTCCTGTCCCAAATAATATTGGAGACCGACCCCAAGCGGCGTCCCACTACATTAATGCTAACATAATTATTCGCTATTAATTGCCCCAGAGGGTGAAAGTACTATTGATATAAGTCCATTGTAATGGAGATTGGGGGCGCACTTTACGCACACAAGAAGGCTTTTTAATGCAGAAGCCCTTATTTTGACTCTGAAACAAACTGGACACTTTTGTGTTTAAAATGTGTGTTTTGACATTTTTTACTATTTTGGAGGGGACAAAATGGGAACCCAGCTACGGATATCCAAGGGCAGGGCGGTGTTAGTAAAATTGTAGAAGAGACAGATGGTAGGTAATAACACACGGTGAAGAAAAATTTTCAAATTTCGGAAAAAGTCTGTCTTTTACTAAAAATTATCAAAACTTACAGAAACATGCAGAATTACTTACTGTTTTAATAAAACTTATCCTCAGGCCATAATTTATTGATTGCCTGGGTGAATATTGCCGATTGGGAACTCATTGGCAATGCAAAATTCAAAATTTCCGATACCATGATAATAGAGTTTCCACGATAATATATGAACCGTGTATACTAGCTATAGGCTAGTCAAATCAAATGTTATCATTCCTGCAGTTGAAGGGGTATATTTTGCCATTACCCCCAAAAAGTCTTTTCTTGTTTTAATTGTAAATGTCTCTTCTTCCCATTGTTAGGAGTGCTTCACAGCGAATGCAATGGATGGTCGTAAGCTCATTTTAGTTGACGCATCTCATCTTCCTTCGCTTGGCATTACAGATTTTGAGCACATCAAGGTACATTTCAGTTCATTCAAAATATTCTCCTTTCTTGCCCTGCCCCTGTGAGAAAGAGGAATAAAGCTGTGTTTTAAAACTTCTCGTATGATAAGGTGCCCTAAGTTTTCTGCAGCTTATCTAGGGCTTGGCCGATAATTCAAATATTGGATATTCAATTGATAACCGCATATTCAAATATTTGTTTACATCATCACATTATGCTGTGGTGAAAATCAACAAAATAGAGATTTAATATAAAATTGAATTCAGAAAGGATATGTGACTAGTAAACCTCAAGGCAGCTGAATACATTTGCCCAAAAGTAAGGCCAAAACAACCCTTTTCTTTCAAATTGACTTTCTTCTTACATTTTGTACTAAACAAATGTTTATTTTGTTTCTCCCTTCGTGGTAGTGTGGTATTGATGAATATTCAAAATATTCATTCCAATGGAAGGTTAAAGTATTTGACTTGATTGAGCTTTATCCTGTATTTACTCCACCCTTAGCATATCTCCAAGAGTGTGAGAGACCTACTAGATATTGAGGAGCCCTACTGGAATCGCAGTATCTCCCTGCCTCACCGGGAGACCATGGGCATGTACCTGGAGCGGAAGAGCATCACCGGCCCCAAGGCCGACAGCCTGACGTATGTCAAGTACCTCAAGGAGGTCAAGAAGGAAGAGCTGGCCAAGAATGGCACCAAGAGGTAGACGCCGGTGGTCAAGTGGAAGGGTTTAGAATCGGGGCCTCTATGGGGGCGCATTTCACTCACGCACAGCAGTTTTGGAGGGGCTTGTATTGTTCTTGTGCAGATCCAGTGAGAATCACCGGCATCTACAGTGAGTGAAGTGCACCCTAACTTAGTAGGATAAGAGCAGGGTGAGAACCTAAATCCAAAGGGGGAAGCCTTGGCCAGATGCAAGGAAGTATTTAAAAAGATGTTTATTAAAATGTTGCAAAACCTTGAAAAGTTTGTACAGGATTGGCCTGGGATCAAGCATTCCCATTTTTAGCCTTAAAACCCGACTTCGGACAAAAATCAAGTGATTTGAACTGGCACAAGGCACACATTGTTATGGAAAGTGGCCCTGGCCTGCAGCCAATGACTTCCTTGGGTGGAGGTGTTAGCATCAGCCTGAGCCAAGTGATTCAAACAAGGCCTTGTAAATACGGAAACGGGCTGCCGTCTCAGAGAATCTGGGTTTTCATTGGCTGCTTTTCACTCTCATCAATCCCTCCATTCCTAATTGTCAAAGTGCTCAATAACGCTACATGGGGTGCACTCGAGTAGCTTCAACGGGCAACCCTGACCTGACAATGGTCGTTAATCCAAAAAGCAAGACTGTGGGGACAAAGTTGAGCCCGAGTTGAGCCCGAATCAACCCTTAAAAGCTATTCGAATGCACCTATGGTCAGCAGCTCCCGTGTGTGCTGGTGCAAAATCTTTAAATTAACTTGCACCCCCGAAAACAAATGTCTTGGCATTCTGGTTGATTGTGAATTCCTGTTTAAAGCTCTGTGGCCCTGCAGAATAATTTCTCCCCCAGCCTTCTATTTCTCACCCAACTGTTGAATTAAAGCTACTTTGGGAGGGAAGTTGGTTGGACCATACTCAACATGTAGTGCTATAGCTATTTCTAGGTTAACAGTTTGAAATAGGAAGTTAAATCGGCAACGTGATTGTGTGTGCTAACAAGTGGTGTAAGGAGTATTTTTGTACCTTTTTTACATAGTATAACAAATTCTGGGTATTTATCCAAAGATACCTACGTTGCTGCCATGCAAGCCTCCCGAGTCCTGACCTTGAGGACTTCTGTTTGTGTCACTGTATTGTGCACTGAATGAAATTGGTTTCAATGGAATTATATTAGAAGTATTGAGAATATGCATGAATGCGTTTGATAATTTCATCATGTTACGAGACCTCTGCTTGCATTTACATATTTCATATCAATAGAGAAAGATTATTTGTCTGTAAATCTTTGGTATGACAAAAATTTGCTTTCACAGTTTTCATCAAATACGTTTCGTGAATTTGAAGCAAGTTGCAATGTAGTACATGTACAAGGATTTTTTGTAATTACCAGTTAAATCAGATTATATACTTGCAATACCATCTGGAAAGGTTTACAGTTTGTGTGATTGTCGTAATTTTATGAAAATTTGACAGTTTTTCATTCAAAGTGGTTTAGTAGTTAGAATGTATCATGGCACATGTAATTTGGAACTGAATGTCAGACCTAATAACCATTTTCTGAACTTCTTTACTCCCTACCAGTACTCTGTTGTCCCTCCCTTCCTGACCCCCTCCCTTCCATTTGTAGGCCACACCCCTCATTTAAAACCACACGCTCAAGTTATTGATTCATTTACCTATTTATTTTATTTATTGTTCTCAGAGACAAGTCTAATTATGTTGAGAACTTCAATTTGTTTTTATTTACAAGCATTTGTTTTTGATCGTAAGAAAAATTTTTTCACCTTTGTGACTGTGTCATTTTTACTTGTAGGAAAACTATTTAAAAGATGTAACTTTAATCACTTAACTTGAACGCAGTAAATAAAATAGGGACCAATACTCTTAATTATTCACATTTGGTCTGTCACTTTTAAAACCTTTATACAAGGTTTTAAATAAGACAGGAGTGAGATAAAGGGGAGACTTTAACAAGTTAGTCAGTACAATTGATATGGACTTGATATGTAACAAATTATTTTACTTGGCTTGAATGGTCATATAAAGTATAATTTATGCACATTTCAAGATAAGTTTATTTTTGTAAAGAACTCTCTGTCATCTGTGCTGAACAAAATTGTGCGAGTGTTAAATAAACCAAAGCTGTAAATTTCATTGAGAAATAAAAACCTCTCTTTTTTAAAGAAAACCTTTTTTACATTAATTTCCCTCAACTTTTATCCTCATTACTGTCATGACGCCTGACAAGCTCATCTAAGACAGACTGAGAATTGTACAGTGGGTTTTGGTAAAATTGGCACTGAGGAACGGATAAGTTAACATCTAGATTCTAGTCATGTGTTGCATGCTCATGCGAGAACTTCAATGTGCTTAAACAGCGGATGAGTGACGTTCGTAAACTTCTTGAACAAGACCCGTAACCAGGGCCCTACACCATAGTCCTTCATCGATACACAATGTACCCTCGTCGACGAAGGAGTATATGGGTCTAGTGAACGTTTTCCCCAAGATCCCTTTCTCCAAATCCTTCCGAATAACACCAAAATGCTCAACTATTCCTTAGTAGGCATGCTAGGATGAAGCACAGAGGAAGGCCTCCAGTGGGTGAATGGAGTCAGAAAACATTCCCATTGGCTCCATAAACTCCTTGCATCTTCGTGCGCAAGTCGTCTGCTAACTTTTTTCAGCCGAGATCCTCTAGATGGCGCTCTACAAAGGCGGATGCGCTTAATTCTAGTCTGGTTCGCAATGCACTCCTTCATAAAATTAAAACTATACGGGTCAGGAGTTTGGACATTCGATACGCTACGCGTGTGCACGAATACGTGGCCGATTTTACGTTCTCCCGTAGCGGCCGACATGGCAGATTTCTTGGTTTCTCCTGACGGCATGACTCCAACCGTTGGTGAAGATCTTCCAAATTCCACAGAGGCGACTCCAGTGGCAAAAGATGGACTAGATGTTGAATCTCAGTGGGGTTTCTCATTGCCAGAACTGTACAAACTTTCCTTAACTTTTTTCAAAGGTAGGCATGCTGCTGCTACTTGCTAGGCAAACGAGCCGGGCCATGAAGAATTGAGCCCCTCAATTTAAATGTCAGAGGGAAAGAGTTGTCAATTCCGACACAGAGGAAAGTTTTTTAAAATTGGGAAAGAGTATATGTCCGTATTCCATCAAGTTCTATAACGCTTTATAAATGTTACGCCCCAACTGTAGCATCAGTCCCAACTATAGTTGGGACAACTGTAGTGCTGCAGTTGGGCGGGCCCACCTATTGTTAACCAGTGTCTGTGAAAAATGTCTTAACATTATCCAAGTCAATGTGTCTCACGCTTGACACAATGTGTCAATGTGACAAATGTGGCACTTCATCTGTTCATCTAGCCCTATGACCAATGACATGACATTTGTAAACAATATGACTTTGGCACATGCTGGGCACATCGTGCACACAGGACCTCTCTGCTGTAGTTGGGCCGGCCCAACTGTAGCACTCTAGTTGGGACGGGCCCAACTACAGTTGGGACAGGCCCAACTATAGTTGGGGCGTAACATAATCACCAACGAATTTTGTGGAAGAACGGTGACAGTAAAGACCTGATTGGAAAGATTTTAATTAGGCCTGGGCCTATACTAGCATTATGCTTAAGCTTGGCATAAGCCTTATCTTAAATACTGCATGAGTGATTTTTGTATAATGGTAGAAAAGCATTGTGGGAAGGCAAAAGGTTCAATTTTTTTCCTTTTTCCTTCCCACGATGCCTTTCTACCATTGTACAAAATCACTCATGCAGTATTTGTGATACACATGATGCTAAGTCGGGAGTTGTTAATACTCATGTTTCTCGTGGCTGTAGCCTGTACCCCACCATTGCCCACCCCTTACATCCAGTTTAAAGCAGCCTTACAATTCTGGAAGTACCCTTCTGGCATTTTGGTAGGCTGCAATAAAGTAAAATCTTTCCTCTAATTTCAACTTTTCCTCTGACGATGTAGTAGGCCTGTCATGCCTGTTGCTGAAGCTCAATTGGCCTGACTAGGAAAGAGTTCCAACGGACAACACTACTCTTTCCTCAAAATGTTATCACAACCTTCAGAGAGTGATAAGATATATCCTAAAAAGCAAATTTGGCTGAGAAAGTTCCGTAGCATTAGGCCTACTTACAATTGTAGAAAACACTCATTTTTTCTCAGACATGTCTCATACAGGTACGTTTGTGCACAGGGACATCAAGATCAAGTGTTGTCTGTATATGGAACTCTTTCCCTAAATTGACTTGGCTTTAATGAAGATACCAGACAGGGGAAATGGACAAATGGTGGAATTTATTAACCCTCCTTTTGCTGTAATAAGTCTCAGACAGTCAAAACTTCCTTCCACTTCTCCCTGTACAGAACATGTACATACTATTGGAATATCATATGTCATTTAGCTGATTTTGACTGATATGCATATTTGCATAGGACTTAGGAGGGTTAATATTCAGATATTGGGCAATACTGAACCATATTTAACCAGTTCACAGTGCTGAGTACCATGGCTGCCTGATATGGATTTGCTGTTATACCAGCTTAGCAACTAAACATGCATTTGGGGGTTTTGGAATTTGGATTCTTGGAAGTTCTGAAATTAATGTAAAACTTCATGCAAATCCATATTCAATACATGTAGGTGGAGTTCAGACCTACAGCAATAGAGCGATCCAGTAAACCCTGCCCATTGTGCATGTGGGCGCTTGGCATGTACTTTTCTCCAGTGCCACACTACAGCCTTACAGGTTCCAGCAGTATGCATCATGCATACGTGCAGGCAGGTCTGGTGGACTTTTGTGTATGGATGTCAGACCTTTGTGCACGCATGGCGAACATAGATCACGGCTGTGATTGGACAGAAAACAATGGTGCTGGGCTTAATGGTTAGTCTATTCCAGACTTTTGTTTCCTTAAAAAAGAAGTCCCTCAAAGCTACAAATCACAAGTTAGAAAGTGGTCCTGCCCTCTGCAGTGTGTTGTGGGTGCAAATTTAGAGCAATGTAAGGATCCTCTCGGGAAAGATTTTATGAGTTATATGAATTCTTGGCACAACGTTCAATTTAAAGAATTTCATGAAGACATCTTCATGTAGTACAGGGGAAGAAAGTTCCAGTTTTCTGTGTTAGATGTTCTTGGCACTGTATGGTGGCTCAAAGTTTTCATGGGTAGGCCTATTTTCTGCCCAGTTTTCACCAGTTTTACTCAAATAAATCTGGAAATGACAGATTGCACCAAGCATTTAAAAACTCCATACACAACTGGATCATTATTTTCAAAGATTTTAGTGTTGCTGATTACTTCTGGTGGGGGTATTATTTTACCTAATCTTGTGACTTTCTGGAAGTATGAAAACAAATGGAAGAATTCCATACATTGTCATTGCTAATTTGGCATCTATTATTTACAAGACAGCCCAGTTTATTTGATTCTGAATACAGGTAGGTTTGTCCCTGCAGTTTCACCTGCTACCTCACCGGTGCTCTCTAAATTATATCTGGCGTTTTGTAGAATTTTGAACAACAGTTTAGGAGAGCTGTAGTCTGTATTCATTTCGGTCGAAAGAAATCATAAGGACCATGACCGCATGATTTCCCCAAGATTTGTTGCCGTTTCAGTAGGCCAGCTTTTGGGCAGGAGTTCCATGTATCACCCAACACCCCTTGTTAAAAAAATAATGAGACTGGTCCAAAAAATTCTAAGTATTTTCTGCATAAATGGTTTGATACTTTCCCTCCTAAATTTTACTCGTTAGGGCGTGTTGTTGCTTTCTGATGAATGATATACATTGTTGGGAGAAATTATTGATGTCCGTATACATGTATAGAACTCTTCCTTTAATAGTAACATGTACACCTGTACATACATTGTAAACTTGACAGTCACACAACTTGACATAAATTAACCATGAATTCTTTATCAAATGAAATAATGGTCACCACTTGTTTCATGACTTATCTTTGTACAACTGTCATACGTTTCTTTTGTCTCCCCTATTTGAACAAAGTTGAGGTAGTGGGCGAAGTGTGGACAGACAACATGGCTTAATCCCTTTTCGAGAGACATGGTTTATGTAAATCATTAAGTTGTGGTACTTTTCCCTCCAAATATAAAAATCTTAAAAGACTTATCTTATGAGTACAATATACATTTATTACAAAACCAAATTAAATGAAATAACAATCCAAAATGTTAGAAAAGAAAGCAAAAAGACTGTCTGTCCCCAGGTTATGATATGTGACAAATGTTACATCTGTCTATGTAACAAACATTACTCATTGATAGAAATTTACAGTGTTCATTTAAGCTGAAGTTTAATAGTCTTTTTCACAAAAATGATTGTGAAAACTGAAAAAAAAACAAGTTTGGGTGATGAACAGTTCTATTTTCATTCTCTAATTTAAACACCGAAAAATGTCTGTCCATGTGACATACATCGTATCTGTCCATGTGACAAATGTGATGTCTCTCCATGTGACAAACGTTACCTTGTATTCCTGAAATCAATTTCATTGTTATATACACTGGAATTGTTTTTTTTCTAGATTATAAAAGTTTCTAAAGTAAACTGAAAAGAGTATTTAATACATTACAGGTAATTATCAATCAAATTTGAATTTCATTTTCATATTTAAGAAACTTAAAGAATAAACTTTAGCTTCTTACATATTGCTCAAAGTTACCTTTTTGTGGTAACAATCAGCAACAGTGAAGATATATAGAAGCAAAAATAATGGCAAAATCTTACAGGTGGAAATTTGTTTTGTGTGTCTTCTCTAAACACCTTTGCTGGTTGTGTTTGTGGACCATTTTGGAATTTGGTAGGGATTTACAAACTGTATGGTTTAAATGTGCTCTTCATCTGTGCATTGGACTAAAGAAAATTTGTTTAAATTGTACAGAAACTGTTGGCTTTGATGTCGCATGCATGTAAAAATACATGCTTGTACACGCCATGAAGAACTAATGAACTTTTTAAAGTATTCTGTACGTAATTCTTTATTTGCTCATTGGCTGTCGTGCTTGTACATATACATGTGTGTAATGTGTTACCATAGTAACAGTATCTACTATGCTATACATATGAAGCACGCTTTCCTGCACAGAACAGATGTTGTGTTTCTGAACAACAGTCAGAGGTGTGCAGTGAGGGTGGATTTATCTTAGCGTCTGATCTCAGCTTTGTCAACGTGGTCAAAGCCTAGGGAAAGCGTATTGCACCATTGCTTTGCTTCACATTGTTGGATTTTTTTGAGCAGTCTCCAATTTACAGTCGTCCTGTAACAAGGTATCTGTATCCATCTTGTAAGTTTTTTATCCTTCTACACCTGTTCATAAGACAGTTTACACAGGAGGATTCATGTAAACTTAACTGGCAACCCACATTCATGTGCGTGTGCATAGTCCTTTTCACTACTAAATTCATAATAATGCAGGCACGCTTAGAAATGGCCTTGGTGGCAAGAAGTGTGAGCAGGCCATTGAAAAGGTGCAGGGATGGGACTTTATCATTTTCTCTCAGATTTTCTGGCTTTGTTCATTTTTTTTTCTTCAGAAAATCCCATTAAATCATTTTGCTGTTCCTAATCTAAGTGGAATTTCTAGTGCTGTGTAACAAGACTTTATAATTGTGATTTTTCCTGTGCGCACAAGATTGCCGTACCTAAGCCGGTCTCCTTTTGTACTTTTCATGATGAAGATACTCAATTCCTTCTAGGTACCATCCACCCCAATATTATGTACGCAGATGCTCTGTCTTTTCCAACACCACTTATTTGCCAGCTTCACTCCTTCAGAGGATCTGACCTGAAATGCCTCAGAAAGACAGAAATTAGTTGACATACATGTAGCCACAACAAGTGGACACCATTTCTTTTGGTATTACCCCAAGCTACGACCAGGTTCAATGGTATGCTACACTGTACATGTATGTGTATATACAAGTACACTGTACATGTATGTACAGTGTACTTGTATGTGCAGTACATGTACGTT